TAAGCTAACAAAGGTTTTAGTATGGTAATCAGCAACATATCCAGAAAAGAATTTTGCTACATAAAATCCAGAAGTAGCCACCTTTCTCCATTGACTACAGGGGTCCAGAATATATTGCCTCCTTAACTAGGATGCCTTAGTCAAGCCCTAAAATTAGGTGACAGGGAATCTATGTCCAGTTGCTGTAATGCAGTTTGCTCAAGCTTTAACTGGAATCTGAGTGTACCAATTTGCAAGGGGGAGGAAAAATAAACTTATCACCTTCTGCCCTTAAAACCAGAGCTGGCCTAGAAATCCCAAGCTAAGAGCTGCAGGGAGGATACAGTGAGCATCAGCCATTCCCCAACACCCTTTCTTATACTCTTTCCTCATGACTGTGTGCAACAGGACACTGGTGTAGGCACATCTCCACTTTGATCCATGTTGCTGGGTCTCTCGCAAGAATCTAATGCTTACCCATAGAGGTGATTTACATGAGGGTTCACACCAAGGGAGTTCGTCCAGTTACGGAAAGTCCATTCCTCACGGTTCTCTCCTAAAAGAGAGTTCAATGAGACTTTCTGCAAGCTCAGAGCTGTATGGTTTCCCACCTTGTAAGGCAGTAAGTTCTGAACAGCATAGCTCAACATTTTTCAGTGGAAAGAGATTTTTTCTGCCATAACTTTTTCAAACAAAGAAGATTGCCCTGACCTCATGTTTTGGATGTCAGATTGATTTCACCAGACCTCAGAAGAACATGATTTTTGGAGGCCTTTTCAAAACTTCATGATTCTATGATTTTTGCACTTTCTTGCAGAAAGTGCAGCAAGAATGTCTTTCACGTGGGAGTTAGCCAACTCACTCTCTAATCCCAGTTGTGCCAAGAATTAGTGCTGCTACAAACATCTCACTGTTTTACCAAGGTGCTCTTGCCTGCATCAGGAAATTGCAAAGCTCAGAAGAGATGAACAGGCCCTCGGGTACCCTCCTCATCTGCCCCAAATAAGTAAACCACCAGCACTTAAATTGCAGCACTTAAACCTCAAATCATAGGTGTTCAAAAAAAAAAAATACCTCCACTGGGCATAGTCTCTTGTGGTCTAAGTGTTTACTTGAGATATTTCTCTTCTACTAATTTTGTGACTGATATCATCACATTCTAGTAGAGTCCAGTCAATGTCCTAGTTTTCAGGCTTGGCAAATGCTGGGTACTTGTTGAACAGGTTTGCAACAAAGGCTAGATTCAGTTTGGGATTGTCACTGACCACATCAGCTGACGTGACAAACTGCTGGCACCCGAGCCGGTCTGCCTGCTGAAGCATGTACATGTACTCTGCTCTTCGCAAGTCGTCCTTCTCCTGCCGGAGACGCAGTGGAGAAGGTCTGTCAGGGAAGAGATCAAACTACAAAGCAGATGGGAAGCTCCTGACTGCTACCTGGAGCAATGTCACAACTCCACCTGCCTTCACTGGGCATCGGCTGCTAATCAAATGAAGGGACAAAGCATCCACACTAGTCCCTGCTGCTGTTGATACACTTGTCCAGGTTTGTCTCTACTTTTCCTAGCACGATCCTTTCCAATTTTGCATGCTTTGCAACTGTTATGCTTTTTGAACTTGATGGTTCAAAATTAGAATACAGCATGTTCCCAAATGCAGCAAAAATCCAAGATATTTCTCGATCATACATGTTAATCGGGAGGTAGTGACCAGGCCTCACATAAAACCAACAAATCACAACAATAGTATCAGCTCTGCTTTGGTTGAAACCCCTATAGCAAGAAAGAAGAGTTTTAGGTTGGGTATTAGGAAGAACTTCTTTACTGAGAGGGGTGTGAGGCATTGGAACAGGCTGCCCAGGGAAGTGGTGGAGTCACCATCCCTGGAGCTCTTTAAAAGACGTTTAGATGTTGAACTTAGTGATATGGTTTAGTGGAGGACTTGTTAGTGTTAGGTCAGAGGTTGGACTCGATGATCTTGAGGTCTCTTCCAACCTAGACAATTCTGTGATTCTGTGATCTCTTACCTGATTTCTCCTAAAGCATTTAGCCTTTCTACCCTTCCCAGTCCTTTAATAGCAGCTCACAAAATTTCCTGGGCTCAGGACGCTGTTAAACTCTTTGAGCATTGGCAATTTGCTTCAGAGGGGCAATGCTTTAGCTAGGAGGTGCAGATCACTTCCCAGCTTAGCAAAATTTCCTCTACCGGCCCCCACACAGCTGACACGCAGCTGACCTGCGGCTACTAACTCGCTTTGCCCTACAGACCAAGGTAACGAAAAGTAGCCACCTGTGCGTGCCCCTTTTGGGGGGGAGGGCTGCTGCTTCACGGCTCGTCACCGCTGGGGGGACACAGGGGTTTGGGGGGGGGGGGCTGCGCCCCGCCCGTGCATCGCCTGACGGGGACGCGGCTTCCCGCGCTGCGCGCGAGCCCGTTGGCGGGCCGCTGACTGAAAGCCCTGCCCGCGCGCCAGTCAGCCGCAGAGGCTGAGGTGTGCTCCGTAGGGTTTCCTAATAAACCTTAAAAAGTCGCCCGTGTGAGGGGCTGGGCGCTGGTACAGAAGGCACAAGTTAATTAGGGACCGTGGACTGTTATTTTAGAGAACAGTGTAGCATTTCGGGATAATTTTTTTTAGAATAAAAGTGGAGATAATTGAGGCGGGGGGGGGGGAGGGGGATCGGATCTGAGGTAGCTTGGGACAAAATGAACGTTTTTCAGGGAAAATCAGAGGTAATAGATAGGGGCAGCATGTGCATTTTAGAGGGAGAACCTAAGAAAAATTAGAGTCAACATAGGTGACGTTTTGGGAGGGAAAAGCTGGGGTGATTTAGAGGGTATAGAATAAGCAGTTTGAGTAATTTAGTGGGCAAAAAATGGGCATTGCTTCCAAAGAAAAAGCTAAATTAGTAAATTAGAGGGTCAAAGATGGCACTTTTGAGGGAAAACAGGTAATTTGTGAGGAAAAACAAACAAACAAACAAGCAAAAAACAAAACAAACAAAACCAAACCAAAACAAATAAACAAAACATTCTTTCAGGGAAAAGCTGAAGTAAATTAGAAGGATCAAAGGTGGCTTTATTTATTTATTTATTTTAAGGGAAATCTGAAGGAGCTTGGGCAAAAATGAGCGTTTTTTGTAGGGAAAAGCTAATGTAAATTAGAAGGGAAAATGGTGGCCTTTTTTGAAGGGAAATCTCAGGTAACTGTAGCAAAAATCAGGTTTAGTTTTGTTTTCCCCCAGGGAAAAGCAGAGCCAAGTTAGAAGGGTCAAAAGTAGCATTCTTTGAGGAAAATTTTGATGTAATATGTGGACAAAAATCAGCTTTTTGTGGGGAAAAGATAAGGTAAATTAGAAGCGTCAAAGGTAGCATTTGTTTTTGAAGGGAAATCTCAGGAAACAGGCAAAAATCAGCTTTTCTCTGGGGAAAAGCTAAGGTACATTAGAAGGGTCAAAGGTGGAATTTTCTGAGGAAAATTTTGAGGTAATTTGTGGGCAAAAATGAGCATTTTTTTCACTGAAAATCTGGAGTGAGTGAGTGACTAGGGTCAAAGGTGGCTTTTTTTTTTTTTTTTTTCTTTTTTCCTGGGAAAAGCTGAAGTAAGTTAGAAGGGATGAAGCTGTTTTTTTGTTTGTTTGTTTTTTGAGGAAATTTTTGAGGTAATTTGTGGGCAAAAATGAGCATATTTGTAGGGAAAACCTGAGGTAAATTAGAAGGTAAAAGGTGGAATTCTTTTGAAGAGAAATGTGAGGTAATTTGTGGGCAAAAATCAGCTTCCTTCCCCCTCCCCCCCTCCCCCAGGAAATAGCTGAAGTAAATTGAAGGGTCACAGGTAGGATATTTTGAGGAAAATGCTGTGTGCAAAAATGAGCATTTTTATCAGTGAAAAGCTGAAGTAAATTAGAAGGGTCAAAGGTGGCTTTTTTTTTTTTTTTTTTTTTTTTTTTTTTAAGGGAAATGTCAGGGCAAAAAAAAATCAGCTTTTTCTCCTGGGAAAAGCTAAAGTAAGTTAGAAGTGTGAAATCTGTTTTTTTTTGTTTGTTTGTTTTTGAGGAAATTTTTGAGGTAATATGTGGACAAAAATCAGCTTTTTTTCTTAAGTTAGAAGGGTCAAAGGTGGATTATTTTTTAAGGAAATTTTTGAGGAAATTTGTGAGCAAAAATGGGCTTTTTTGTAGGAAAAAGCTGGAGTAAATTAGAGAGTCAAAGCTGTCTTTTTTTTTTTTTTTTTTTTTTTTTTTAAGGAAAAAAATGAGGTAACTTTGTGAGCAAAAATGAGCATTTTTCCAGAGAAATGGTTAAGTAGGTAACAAGGCTCAAATGTGGCATATTCAGAGAAAAAAATTCAAATAATTTGTGGAAAAAAAAAATTATAGGGAAAAGCTAAGGTAAATGCCACTACTATTCCTTCTAATTTATTTTGAAGGGAAATCTCACGTAACTAAGTAAATATGAGCAATTTCTTTTAGGGAAAGCTAAGATAAATTAGAAGGGATTGGATGGAAACTTTTGAAGGAAAATCTCAGGTAACAAGGGCAAAAATGAGCATTGTTTCTTTAGGGAAAATCTGAAGAAATTAGAAGTATCTAATGTAGCATTTTTGAGAGAAGAGGTAAACTAGGAGGCAAAAAAAATATTTTTATTTTAATTTTTTTAATGAAGATGACGTAGTGAAAAAAAGGAGGAGAATAAAATGATAGAAAAAAACTCAGGTAACGTGGAGGAAAAAATAAGTATACTGTGACAGGAAATTCAAACAAAAACATGGATATTACATTATTTACATTATTATGTAACATTATGTCACATTACTATATAATTGTTTTCCCTCTAATTTACAGGGGGAAAGACACAACAAAGAAAAAGGAGTATTTATGTAACAAGTAAAAAACTAAAGTGAACAAGAAGGAGTAAAAGGGTAAAATAAACAGAAAATGAGAAGTAACAGGTGGAGTTTGCCTATGGGAACAGAGAGAGGAGTTAGTGCTTTGCTGGTCTAAGCGTCTCATGCTTCCTTTGCAGCAGCAGCTGGTGGGGAAGAAAGAAGAGGGAGGCATCATGTGGAACTGCACTGCAAGGCAAGAGTGATGAAGGTGAGGAGCAAAGAGAAAAAGGCACTCTAGGCAAAGGGCCGTCCCGGTTGTCAGGTCTGTGGACACGTAAGAAGAGCATGGCTGGCACCTTTGGTGTCCTGGCCGGCTTTGCACTGGGTGACCTCCCTTTAAGCAGGGTTCGGGTCTTTTGCTTTAGTTGGCCTTTTGCCACGCTGCTCCTTCGGCTGCCTTATGGAATAGGTGAGGAAGAGGCTTCATGTACAACTGCAAGGAGTAAGTGTTGACAAATTGGTTGTCTGAAATGGAAATCTTTTTTCAGTCATTTGTATTTAGTGCAGTATGGAAAAATGAAGTAGACTGAATAAAGCCGATATTGGAGTTTATTTTTGAAAGCCTTTAAAGTACTATCAAAACAGTTTTCAATTTTACAGTTTTTGATTGGGAATCTTTGACCCATAATGATCATCTCTCATCAGTGCAAACGTCTCTCTTTCCCCTCTGCAAAAGAAAAATACTCAGAAGCATCAAATTATATAGACTCATAACCATCTTTTACTTTAAAATCTGCATGGTGAATCAACACTACTGTCCTATTTTTTTCAATGTTTCTTACACCCACAGCTGTATTCCTTAATACCAAAAATATGATTAGAAGAGAGCTTGTGATGTCACTGTCATGTCTGTGTCCACTTCAGTATTATGGTCGTCGTGCTGTGTAAGTGAAGGGTTTACAGCTGCAGTTGGGGGGTATTGTTCTATTGGTGTGAAGATGTGATGCTCAGAGGCAATGGCATTTCAGTGTGGTGTTTCCTATTGGGTAGTAGGGGAAGGTAATACTAGTGTGGCTATCATATGGTGTGAATGTTGGTGTTCTCCAGCATTCCTTTCTAAATTTTGTGGTAGTAAATGTTGCTGCATTGTTATCATTGTGGTTTGATGGAAGTTGTCTGCTGACAGTGCAGAAGTGTAGCAGTGATGTATTTCATCTTCAGCTGGAACTGCAGGCAAGTCAACACAAGCGTAAGTGGACATAGTGAGCTCAGGTTGGTGAAGGTGGGTTAAAGCCCCACAGGGAAGCAGTGGTGGTGCAAAGTACTGGTGTCTTGCTGAAAATGCACAAAAACGCACTTTTTGTCAATAGAAAGCTCTTGCAGAGTGCAGAGGAAGTCCAGCCTTTGCTGTTACCACAGCAACAGCCAATGGACAAACTGGGGCTGTACAATGAAACAACATCTTTTATCTGCTTCTGCATCAGATTCATGATAAATTTGTGCCAAGTATTAAATGGTCACTGTCCCTACCAAATTAAAAAAAAAAGAAAAAAAAAAGAAAAGAAAAAATCTAAACACAAAAACATGTTTACTAACTGCTCATAAGAGGAGGTAATAGGAGGTGTGACATACATACCGCATCTGTCCCTGACTTTAGAGGAATTTTATGTGTTTTCAACAAGAAGCAAAGGTTTACTTTTCTCTTACCTCTCATTAGCTTGGTAAAAGAGGACATTTTGACAACAGCAACCTCACATGAGCACAGTAAGTCCAAATTTTGTTATTACTGCAGTACCAGTGAATGGACAAACCAGGGCTGCACAACAAAACAACACATGCTGCATCTTCCTGCTTATCAGATTTGTGATTAGATTCATGCCAAGTATTAAATGGTCAATACATTTTTGATTTACCTTTTGTTTGCAATTTTTCCGCTTCAGTTCAGGGGTTTCAGTACAATCCTCACTTTCCTCAGCTTCAAGCACTTTGGGAAGTTGCAGGAAAACTTCCCATTTGCTTCTTGCTGTTGCATTCCTTTCTTCAGTCTCTCTGCACTTCTGATTTGTGTCAGCTGCCGCTATCACACCCTCCCTCCTCCACTGACCTGGGCTCTCTGGTCATGAGCCTGAATGGGTACAACCTTTTCTCCTACTTTTCCTAGGGTTTGCCCTAATGGGGCTTTTCCACTACACCTCTGGGCATTATCTTCAGCCACACAGTAAGTCACAAATGTGAGAGTAATGTTTTAGAGAAGCTATCATAAAGGTAACACCTCACAAAAACACTGCCAATTAAAAAATCACTCACAACTAACAAAGAAAAAAAACAAACACAAAACCACCCTCCTCCTCACCCCCTCAAGCACACCCTAGTCCCTAGTTCTAGGGGTCTTAGAGACCAATGGGACCTGATGCAAAACAGAAAAAGCAACCAAAGCACTGCTTAAAGTAACTGACAACAGGCTACCATGCTGGGACAGGGTAAATAAGGAGAGAACCCTGGATTTAAATGTGATTTTATTTTATTTTATTTTATTTTATTTTATTTTATTTTATTTTATTTTATTTTATTTTATTTTATTTCAACAAATGCTTTTACACCATATTACATCATTTTGAATAGCTCAGAATAGCAATATGATCTCAAAATCTAGCAAACAGCTTGCCAAAGCAAGATGATATTAACTCCTATGGATACAGAATCTTCCTTCTTTGGTGACAACACTTCATTATTTCTGTAAAAATAATTTTATATTCCAGCGCATTTGCTGTTCAGTTTATTGAACCCTGCTGTTCACAACATTTGCCTCTTCCCTGCACAAAACCTCCCCACAATGTAGTATGGTTTTATATCCAACAACATTTTAAATAAAAAAAAGTTATATTTTTTCATGCAGATTCTTGTAAAAATTATGTTCTAGGTACACACAACTGAACCAAGATGCATACGAAAATGCATTCACTTCCATTCTCAGGTGCAACTGTGCCATCAGCAACATGGTATTATGTTACTGTGTGCAGTCCAAGGATGGTGATATTCTCATATATAGTCTAACTTAAAAATACAAACAACCCCCCACCCCCTTTCTTTTTTTTTTTTTTTTTTTTTTTTTTTTTTTATGAGCAGCAAGAGAAAAAACTGCTATGCTTTATTTGTAAAGTAATCAGAATAGTTAGATGTATAAAAAGAAGCACTATGCACAGAGAATACCAGAAGATCCATCTTCCAAAACACGTTTCTCATTTAGCATTGCGAGCTGGTCTGTAGGTCCCAACTTGTACGGTAGCTTTGTTTGCAAAGTTAAGGAAGTGGTCAAACCCAGAATGCACTTGGACCAAATGACAGCAATTAAGCTGGATTGCAGAAAGAAATAAGATCCATTCCCATTACAACTCATACTGACTACCTCAGAGCCCTTGGGGGTGGGGTAGGGTGGGGACAACACCAAGCATCAGAGAAATAACGTGGTGAAAAACAGCTCTAGAGCAGCATTCAAGGTGCTGGTCTGTTATGAATGCATTTCTGTGAGCTCTTGATAAGTCAAACTTTCATTTAGGAAAAGAGCACTTCTGTTGGTTAAAACTCCTCTTCCTGAGAATTTTGGTATGAGTTTGTCTTGCAAAGCAAAACAACATCCTTTGAACTTGGCTAAGTGTTCCCTGTGGTACTTTTAGCCCTTGCACACTGCCCTGCCAGAGAACTGTTGGAATGTTTTTGTGTTATTTTAGTCCTTCTTCTTTCATCCCACATACATACAACTGGAAATTAGAATACAAGTCCAATGTGGCTAATATAGAAATTAGCAATGAGGAATAATGTCCTCAGGACTGGTGGAAGTCCTGGTGACATTAATTATTTTGCTTACAATCCATCTTTCAAAGATTCTGTTTTTCAGAGCTCTTCCAGAATGAAATTCCTATACCTTGGGTCTGTTCCTTGTCAAAGGAATGATCTTGGCTCTGATCACTTCCAGCACCTTTTCCTTTCATGCTAGGGATAGTGACTGTACTGTTCTAAACACAGAATGAATGACTGTCAAAGCACTGGGATACACCCAGAAATCTAATTGTCCTAGTTGAAAACTTGGCAAGAGCATACTGCAGCCCTCTTCAGCCCTTTATGTCTGGTTTTCTTCCCATGGGAAGCAAGGTGTGGGGAAAAGCGTGGAAGGAGCCAGGAACATTTGTGAAAACCTGTCTTGAAATGGGGTCAGGATGCAGACAGAGCCTGCAGCTAGACCAGTGGGCTGGGAAGGGCTTCCAGACTCTTCAGTTTAGATATAGGAAATGTTGTATGTAAGAAAATACGAACTTAATGCTAGAAGCATGTACAAGGAATGTGACAGTTGGGAGTCTTTTTTAACAGAGGCAAAAGCTTATGGAATTTTATCAGAAATAGAAGAAGTCACTGTTTCGGTTTGTCCATGGCTCACCATTTAAAGTTATCTCAGTAATTTGAGATTGTTTAACATAGAACTCATGGGTTACCTTCCAAGGTCCTCTCACTTAGCACAGGGATTTAGTAATGGATTGCTTGTGGAAATCAGGATTTGATGGAAAATGGAAGGGTGACTTAACTAGATATTCTGATAAGCTTTGCTTCTTAAGAAATCATAGCATTAGCTGGATACATTTCCAAGTTAGTCAATGAGACAACTTCCATATAGTCATTGGGATGCCAGATAATTCACATGAGTATGCTTGTTTTTTTCCAAATCTAGGTCATATCAAGCATGGAGCAGCATGAGATTTTTTGTTAATCACATGTATCCTATCTCAGCCTCTCTTCCGCCATGCTAACAATAAGGGAAAGGAAAAGCAGATCTGTGGCTAAGGGCTGTTAGATACATTAAACTTTTCTCTAGTAACCAGGTGCAGAATTCAGACGCAAAGCTACCATGATTCCAGAGCTTTGCTTCCAAAATCTGTTCGGTGCGAAATTCTGTCCCAGCAAGAGTGTTTCTCTCTCTTGTAGGCCTGTCTGACTTTTCAGTAGGAATAATCAGACCTTTCAAAATAAATTACAGCATTTGGAAGCTATAAAGAATCGGCTTCTGCCCTTCTGCCTCGTTTCTCCCCCCCCCTTTTTGTTTCATGCTGTTCTTCTCGTTGATGCCTGACCAGAGTCAATTCCCGAATGTCTCATGTTTATTCACTAGGCTGCTGACGATAATCACAATGAAATCTCAGTAGCTTTCAGCTAGGGAAGTGTTATTTTTTCTGAAGGCATTTCTATTCCAAGTTACTGCATATGATATCTTAGGCCGTG